AGGACTGTTAGTTCTTTTGTAACTTTAATTTTAGAAAAAAAGTGAATAAAAATGAGGATTTACTCACAAATAAACTGCTAATTAATCATTTATTGACAGTAGTATGTCTTTCTTAGTGTAGTGGTGTTGGGATTAGCGGTGACGGTGCTCGTCAAACTATAGACAGATTATTTTTGTTTTTCACGCGCATATTAGCTAATTAATTTTAACCTCTTTAATATAATGAATATCCGCAATACTTTACGCTTTATCAAATTGATTAACTTGTAACTTGTAAAAGTACACATCCGTGCAACCGTGTAAACACTGCGGCTGACATAGATGTACGAAGTAATGTACTGTAGTATTAATTTAATAGCGGTGACATTATTAGTTTTCATTTTTATCTATGCAAGAATAATATATCATGCCATTGTCCAGATTTTTTAGTTTTATTTTTAATACGTAACTTCTCTCCGATCTCCTTACGTATATTTTTAGTAATTCATTAATTACAGCCCACTAAACTCCACTGCACAGGCTTCGTAAATTCATTGCCGCATAAGAAAATATTTGCCATAGTTACCACGCTTTGCATGCGGGTTGGCTATCGTATTTTTATTATAATTATCACTGAGTTGTCATTGGGAAGTTACTGCTGCTCATATTCTATTCCAGCTGCCCTCTGTCACCACTCACAACACCCACGGAATTTTAAGTGGTATTGGATTTTCTTACGGCAACACTACACGACGTCATAAAATATGTACTTGCTATTTATCGTCTTAGTTATCTAGTCTCATGCAAGATTAATATTTGTACCAATAATTGCAAAATATTTGGCTTCGCTTTTGGTTTTGCTTTGTTCAATATTGTTTACTACATCCGATCCTAGCGTTGGTTTCGTTTTGTAAATATTGTATGGATATCTTGAGGTTAGGAAACGAGATGAATTAGAACGAATACTTACCATGATGATAGGTTCTGTCTGTGATGAAAATTTTCAATGAGTTTGAAAATAAAACAAATATATGGAATGAAAATAGCGCCACACTCAATTATTTCATTCATACATTCATTCATTACAGCCTATTAAATATCCCTACTAGACACAAGCATCCCCAGAGATTAGATCTTATAGTATTTGACATAAATGCCATGCTCGCCTGGCGGGTAGGGTTTTCACCATATTTTGAGCTGTTATCAGGAAGATACTGTTGCCCATCGCCTGTTTCACACGTATAAAGGCTTTAATTTTCAATTTACGTGTTATAAATTGCTCGCTGAGCATCCACGACCAAGCTATCCTACTCCTCCTGAGCGCGGGTGTTCAGGCTGCTCCGCGTTTCTGGAGAGGGTGAAATTACGCTCGCGACTAAAACTGCTTGGGGCAAGCGGAGCAATAAGACCAAGGTAACCCCTGTTACGCTATCCGTGAATTTTTGCAACATCAAGGGAATTCATTCCAGCCTCAACGCCGCTGTCCACTACCATCTGGAGACAGCGAAGCTCTTTTTAACCGAGACTCAGATGTCCTCTCCGGCTGATACTTCATATCTCTCCTACACGGAGTACAAATTAGAATGCTCCTTTGTGCCCCAGGCTGGAGTTTGCGTATATATCAGAGTGGACATCTGTTTTCGACACCTCGGCAATCTTGAAGGTACGGACCTGTCCATCCTATGGCTGCGCGTAGACAGCGATGACCACCCCCGCGTCTACGGGTGCCTCTATAAGTCCCATAGCGGTAATGCCGAGACAGACCAAATCATCGACCACGTCCACGATTTTAACGCCCACCACGCCGAATGGATTAGTTCACGTTTAACTGATCATGCATATCTGTTTATGACTTTGCCTTGGCATATGCTCTTACACAGATGGTTACTTCGCCTACGCGGATTCCAGATGTGGAGGATCACGCACCTTCTCTGTTGGACCTCCTGCTGACCTCTCATTCGGACGAATATCAGGTTTCCCTCAACGCCCCTCTTGGGTCCTCTTGACTTGGACTTGGACTATTGTCTTGTCCGGAGTGTAGTTCCACTCACACTAACATCGCGATTGCATTCTGCAGGCTGCCGCCGTGTTTGGCACTATAGGTCGGCCGAATGGGACGGGATGCGGTCTTTTTTTGCATCTTACTTTTGGGAGGCGGGTTTGCTTCTCGCCGGAAGATCCCAGCGTTGTTGCTGATTCTGTCGCTGATGTGGTACTTCAGGGTAGGGAACTTTTTATTCCATCCTCTGTGGTGCCCATCGGAGGCGGCAGGAATGGAGCAGGAATGCTACCGGGCCTGAACTGACGAATCAACCTCTCGGAATTTAAACACCAACGCTGTTAAAAAAAAGTGTAACCAAGCCTCCAAGTCCTTCAAAAGAGTCATTACCAAGGCAAGGTCTGAGCACTTCAGCAGAATTGGCGAGAAGCTAGTTCGCCTTCCTTGTGAAACCAGTGCATTCTGGTCTCTCGCCAAGGCTATCCAAGGGAACTTCTGTCAGCCATGTCTTGCATCTCTGCACGGAGAGAATGACTCACTAGCCCATGACGCAAAAGAGAAAGCCGATCTGTCAGGCTCTCACTTTGCGACCAATTCGACTCTCGATGACGTCGGGGGGAACACATCGCCAAATACCACGCGGTGTGGCTAATCCATGCTGGATGTGCGGTTTACACAGCGCTCGGGTCGCAAAGCATTCCTCTCCCTGGACGTAAGGCGAGTGGACCTGATGGACTGAAGACGAGTGCTCTGAATTTGGCACTGATTTTTACCCGTCTTTTCCGGCACTCCTAGTCCCAAGGCGTAGTCCCGAATTCACGGAAGACAGCTTTGGTCCACCCGATCCCTAAAAAAGATAACCGCTCAGACCTCTTCAACTACAGGCCTATCGCTATCACCTCCTTGTTCTCCAAAATAATGGAGTACATTATAAATTGCCAGCTCATGAGGTACCTTAAGGATCACCACCTAATTAGTGACCGCCAATACGGTTTTCGTCGGGGTCGATCAGCTTGTGATCTTCTAGTCTACCTGACTCATAAATGGGTGGAGGCAGTAGAGTCGAAGGGGTAGGCATTGGCTGTTAATTTGGACATTGCAAAATCCTTCAATCGGGTCTGGCACGAAGCGCTTCTTCGGAAGATCCCTTCCTATAGGCTTCCCGAGAAATTGTGCAATTGGATCACCAGCTTTCTTGCAGATCGGAGCATCAAGGTTGTTATAGACGGTGCATGCTCCGACTACAGGCCTATTAATGCTGGTGTTCCACAAGGCTGCGCGCTATCAATGATATGTTGTGAACCGGTATTATTTATTGCTATACGAATGACAGCACTGGTGGTGCTCTATACAATGGCCGTGCCAATATATCTCGGGAAAACGTCGCCAAGTACCGGAACAAACTTTGGTCTAAAGTTGAAAGTTGTCTTTGCTGAACAAAGTCTCGTATTGTGGGCGCCTAAATCTAGTCCAGTTTAATACACAGGAGACACAAGTTTGCGTGTTTACCGTTAAAAAGAACCCCTTTTTCGTATCTCCTCAGTTTCAAGACACTCTCCTTGCTGCCTCAGCTAGCATCGGAATCCTCGGCGTCGACAAATCGAATAGTATGCAGTTTCATGGTCACTTGGAAGGGAAGGGCAAATTGGCCTCTACAAAGCTTGGCGTGCTCAGCAGAGCGAGACAGTATTTCATGCCGCACATCGCTTGCAACTTTACAAAGCGCTGTTCGGCCTCACACGGAATACTGTTCTCATCTCTGGGTTGGGGCACCCCAGTGCCAGCTCCTTCCAGTTGACTGCATCCAACGCAGAGAAATTCGAAACAACGATGACCGAGTTCTTTCTGATCGGCTCGATTCACTGGTACTGTGTAGGGATGTTGCATCCCTTTGCATCTACCACATGGAGAGCTCTGAGGAGTTGTTCGAATTAATTCCAACCGCCAAATTTTACAAACGCAAATCGCGTCAAACTCACAATATCTCACCATCTGGATGCTTGGCGGTCCACCGCTGTGCGTTTTACTAGGAGTTTTCTCCTCGTACATTTTCTCTATGGAATTGTTTACCATCGGTGATTTTTCCGGACCAATACGACTTAGGGACCTTCAAGAAAGAGCTTACTCCTTTCTAAAAGGCCGGCAATGCACCTGCAATTCCCCTGATGTTGCGCTTGTTCATGGGTGGTTGTAGTCACTTACCATCAGGTGAGCCGCATGCTCGTTTGCCCCGTCTTTTATAAAAAAAAATCCGTAAAAGTAGTTTTATTCAATCAAGCTGCTTGATCGTCTCGGCATTTTGTTTTCTATTTTTAGTAAAGTTTTTGGAATAAAAGATATAAAATAATTGGAACGTTCCAAAACTAGGCAAAAATAAAATTTCTAAAAATTTATTACAAAATACAGTAACTTCAATTTTCCAAAACACAAAAGAAACACAACTGAAATAATAAAGCAAGACGATTATAACAGTCTTTGGTTTTGCATAGTTATTAATATTTATAAAGTAATACTATTATAAGAAGCAACTTGTATCTCAAAATTTTAATAGAATAGGGTAACAAAGGAGCCAACAGTCTACCTGACGGTAAAATCAAAATGCAGATGCATTGTAATTCCCGAGGACTAAGATGGAATGCCTTGTTTCTAGTAAAAAGGGTATCTGGTTCTCTACACTCACCAACTTACTATACCAAACACAGCAGCACGAAGCTGCTATTTTACGCTGGTATTCTGTGAGAGCGTGGTCTTGCCCCGGTCGAACCGACATATTCCTGTTACAACTATATAGTGACAGCATGGCTCTTTCACGTAGAAAATCAAAATCATCAAATGATTATATTCTTTTTGGTCGTCGATATCATAAAATTCCTAATCTGAAGACATTTTCTGAAATTGGACCTCCTACACATACTTTAAAAAGCAACAAACAAGAATATGCTTTTAACCTAACATATAATATTTTGTCAGAAAACATTACTTCGACTTTAACATTCCTTTCTTAAAATAAGTCAATACTATTTTAACCAATGGAATATGATCTTTTAAAGGCAGCATTTCGTCTTCTTCTGCAAAATTTTCTTTTATATCTTCTTCTTGTTGAAAACCTTTTAAGTTTCTCATTATTTGTCAAATTTTCTACAATATTACTCCATTTTTGGTCAAGGTCTTCCGGTGGTTTATCGTTAATTAGAATAATGGGCTTTATGAAACTGATGCTTTTTTCTTGAGTCCTCGTTTTGTTTTCTTCTTTTACATAAATCGATGACGTCCTTGAACATTGTTTTCTTATTGAACCTACTGGAGAATTAGGCTTCGAGCTGTCCTTGCTTGATATAATTGATGCCTCTAAATTACTGTTTGATAATTGGGAAACTCGTCCATCATTATCAGCCATCTCATTAGCTGCTGCCAATGCTGCCTCTGCATCTTGGAGAAGAATCAACTGAAAAAAAATACAAATTTTAAAATTAACACATAGAAATTATTTTATATTTTGCCTCCAAGGACATCAAAATATTCTCTACGTTTACAATTTATCAAAAGCCAAAATGGCTTGTCATGTCAATGGATCTTAGTCAGTTTTAGATATTTTTCCCGAACATTCAATTTTCTATCTGCTTGCGATTCTTTATTTTACTCTAACGTTTCTGTAAAGTAAGAACCAATACAGAAATGCTCAGAATAAAGACTAAAGTAGCTGTTACAGCATTAATATTTTACTAGTAAAAACAAGTAATTGTACAACCAAAAAAATAATCAGAACTCATTAGTTTACAGAATAACCACAGACTGAAACTCTAGATAAAATGTATTGCGTGTACTTTTTCAAATTAAAATTGACTAGCACTGTTACGAGTCGTGGAAACATAGAGCCTAAGCCGCTCACTGTAAATTTCACAATGCACGAACAATCGAGTTTGATCTCCGCGGATGAAATTCATAATTGCATTTTAAGTGCTGATTTATCACGTGCTTGGTGTTGATGGAAAACACAGTGAGGAAACCTGCATATTTAAGAAATAAAACATTTCAAGGACATTTGAAGCCCACCAACACGCACTGACGATTTCTCTCTTCAAGCTTGATAGTATTTATATCAATCTAAACCCTCTCAGAAATTAGATGAGGCCTGCGCCCAGCAGCAAGACGTATATGTATAGACTGCAACTATAGTTTTATTTTAGTACTATTCTATTCTGATACATATCTATTAGTACTTTATCCTTATCCTAAATTAACTCCTTTCAAATAATAATGATAGACCAAATAGCAGGAAACAAACAGTCAAACGTAGATATAACATTCTACGCAGTTCACAAATGGTGTTTCAAATGTAAATACATTTAACAATTAAAACTAACAATGAAATATTTTATTATCATTTTTATCTACCTATCCTCAGACATCTATTTGAACACTTATAACAAAAATAAAACTGTTTTTACATATTTAACATCTTTGGACTTTTGTTGTGAAAAATAAGATAATTCACCAATACAGTTAGTTACAGCATCGAGTACCTGGTTGTTTACTTCTCGGTTCTTGTATTAATAACGCGTGGTTGAAAAGTTTGTCATAACAAAGTCAAGGTAGCAATAATAAATTTCGGTGCTTTGATTTATATTTTTTTTAAAGAACTGTAAACAATTTACGTAAACAACGTAAACTGTTGATGGAAATTAAAAATTATGTTTATAATCTATTCCTACGATAAATCTGTAAAAAAGTTATAATAATGAAAAAAACAAGTTTGAGGAACCATACAAAGAGTACTAAAGCCAATGAGGCTGTAGTAGTAGTGTATAATATAAGAAATTGTGATTTTCATTATTAAACTAGCATAATAATGCCATATGATGGCGTCATAAGAAAATTTAACGTAGGGTTCGTAACCAAATACGATTATGCTCTTAGTACCTACTTGGTCCCGTGGACTAACCATAAAACAAGTTTCGTTGAAAACCAACCGAGACTATTATTGTACTACAACAATAATAATGAAAATAATCCTATATCCTAATAATATTATAAATGAAACTTTGTTTGGATGTTTGTATGTTTATGACTCAATGATGCAAAAACTACTGAATAGATTTTCATGAAACTTGAATATTAAGCAAAATGAGAATACGTTGTTACTAAAGTTATTATTAATAAGAATATCGCTAGAATGCTTATTCAAGCAGGATATAACGATATCAACATTGTGATCATTAAAATACGCGAACCAATGACTATTATTAAGATGTTTTACCATAAACGCACCGCTAGGCATAATGATTCCCAATACAAGTAATATAAATACAACGCAACTTGAATACTGTATACACAAAATTATTATTTAGGAAAGCTCTTAGTAGTATATTTTTTATAGGATAGGGTGACAAACGAGCGCACAATCCACCTGATGGTAAGTGGTTACTGTGACCCATAGACATCCACATCTATCCTCAATAAAGTATCATAATGCAGATGCGTTGTGAGGACTAAGATGGAATGCCTCTTTTCCAGTAAAAAGGGTCTCCGGTTCTTTATATTCACCATACGAAACACAGCAGTGTTAAGCTGCTATTTTACGCTGGTAGTCTGTGAGAGCGTGTTCCTTCCCCGGTCGTGCCGACCCATTCGTACTACAACTATACTACTTATACAACTGTAGCATGGCTCTACCACGTATAAAATAAAGATATGTTAGATATCTTTTAGCATGGTAATGATATCACGAACAATTACTGCTATCCCATGTAGATAAAGAAAGATTCAGTGCAATATGAGATAAAATTCGGTTGGATAGATCGTTTGGAGACTAATTACGTATTGTACTCAGAATAATTTCCTTATTTTATAATTAGCCAAAAATGTGATCCCAGAATGTATAGAAAAACGTCTGTTTGTCAAAAGTGAATAGGCTAAAGACGCACGCAAACAGGCAGATAGACAGCAACACTATTTGTATAATATTAAAAATATCAATGAACAAACTCAACTTCATAGAAATAATATGAACTGCAAATTCTATAATATTGAGTTTGTGCCACGGATTGTAAACACATGTGTTTACTTTTATAAACACAAAGCGTTCATAAGAAATGAAAGTTAAATTATTTACTAGCTGTACCCCGCGGTTTCAACCACATATTATTTAAGGAATTACTGATTCATTAATCGATTCAGTATAGACAATATTTTTAGTAACCTTTTCGTTTGGTATTAAAATGTATTGGTTTTCAATACATCCTGTTCTAGATAAGCCAACATATATAAGTGCCCATGGGAATAACAGCATTCACTTAAATCTATCCCCTCGTGCTTGTAAGTCTGTCCCTGTGCTTTATTTATAGTGACTGCAAACGATACTTTTATGGGAAATTATATTATTTTAAAACTAAATGGTAAATCTGTAGGTACCATAGGAATTCGAGGTATTAGTGCCGTTTGGCCAACTGCTGGCCCAGTTAAAACTATAGCAACTATGATATTATTTCTAAGAATTTTAACTTGAAGCCTAGTTCCATTACATAGACTTGGTGGCCGCAGGTTTGGTAATCAAATAATGGGAGTGCCACTTTTTAAGTTCAATGAATATGGGGACAGCCCACAAGGATTCAAAAAATTTAAAAGTTCTTGAGGGTAATATGCCGCGTCTTCTCGATCCACGACAGTATCAATAGCAAGGTAGTTTATATTGTCGCCTGGTAGTTTGGCCATTATTTTATCGTTAATGGCGTCAACGCTTGTATTTTTGACAGCTAAAATTGCCCTTTCAGATATTCACTTATAATTCTTTTTGGTTTATATACTCTAATTATAATAAATTAATAATAATATATATATTATAATTTCTTATTCTAATTATAATTATTATTATCATTGTTCTTTCTTTGACATGACAATGTGATTGTTAATTTAATTAATTTATTGATGTAATCTAATAATATAATTTAATATTTTATAATTGCTACGCCCAAACCGGGTTTCAAATGCGGACTATTTTTTAAAACACATCTATTGTTACCATTTGATTGCAATAAAGATTATGAATTATGAATTATGAAATACTGTATAGGTATTCAGTGATGGTTACGATTTCACCAACAGTCTTTAGGAATGGATTTTTTTCGGTTGACTCAGGTACTTTTCCATTACCAATCAATAGTAGCTTTTTTGGGAAATCTGTGTTTTTTTCATCCAAGTGTAGTATTCAACTTAATTCAAGTATTCAACAGATTTCCAGAAAGGGAAAAATTTTAAGCAAGATTTAATAAAATCTGCTCTAGTCCCCCTACTACAGGCAAAGTTTGTCTAAAATCACTAGAAAACATAAAAGTAATTCCACCCAGAAAACTTTCCAAATAAAGTTTATTTGTGCTCGTTATGTCTCTGAAAGTTCTGTGTAATGCCTTCAGGTGAGCTCTATGAGTCATAGTGCACTCATCCCATATTATTAGACTGGCATCTTCCAAGATTTTACCCAACGAGCCATTTTTACGGATAGAACACACACTGTCTCGTTCAAGTGACACATTAAGTGACAATTTAAAGGTAGAATGAGCCGTCCTCCCCCCTGTCAACAGTGTAGCAGCAATACCTGATGACGCAACGGCAATAGCAATTTTTTCCTATAACTTAAGCGGTCGTTCGCGCTCCGAGCAATGTGTTCATTATTTTAGTTTTTCATTATATCTTAAACTATGCGTTCAAATAACATGCTATAAACAGCAAAGTTTATCTCCATAAAATTGTCTTGATGATGAAGTAACTGTCGTTATTAAGGATTAATATGCCATACCTAATAATAACGCTTATAAATCACTTTTTAATTATTCAATAATTTTTGTCACAAAATTCCTTATTTTGGCTTATGTTTAGGAAACAAGTATATGCTATCACGGACTTTTTTTTAGACAGAGTAAAGACCAATACTTTTGTAGAACATTGTATTTATGTATTACTAAACATTACGCCAGCGCACGTGGATAAAGCTGTTAGAGAGCGCCTTTTCTTCCGACTTGCTTAACAAAAGCTAGATGAGAGTAGGCTAATGCTAGATAGCCTATACTATTCCTCATGAATCTGGCTATTATATACAAAAATAATTTTCAAAATCGGACTGGTAGTTCCACAGATTAGCGCGATAAACAAACAAAAAACAAACAAAAAAAACTCTTCCGCTTTCTTATATTAGTATAGATTATATTATTACGAGTATTTCTAATCCTCTTTCTGTGAATAAGATGTTAGGATGTTTTGGATCCGTTTAAAGAACACACAAGTTTACATCATCTGGTAATGTTTATGAAGAACATAACTTACATAACCACATCGTACTTTGATGCTTCTGTAAGAGTAATTTACGATTTAATTGGTCGTTTCATTTCGGCGGGGTTCGGGAACCAAACCGATTTTCTTATTTGCAAACATAACTTTTGTTTAAGCAGTAAT